TTCTCCAACTATTTAAGTGATTACTGTCTGTGCCTCCCATAGTTAAGTTCAAAAGCAATCTAACAAATGGAGGATGGGAGTAGCAAAAGGAATTCAGACCGAAACAGGTAAACTAAGAGCCAGTGTAGAATCATCGTTTGAATACTGGAGGAGAGCTAGGGAGATTGATCTGTATATGTGTGTCTCTGCACACCTTCAAGTTGCCCATTGATTTGTGGTGACCAAATGAATTTCCCAGGTTTTTTTTAGGCAAGGAATCCATACAAGTTATTTTGTAGTTCCTTTCTCTGAAATATAACCTGCAGGACATGGTATTCACTGGCAGTCTCCCATTCAAGTACTAACCAGTGTTGGCTATGCTGAACTTCCAAGATCAGATGGCATCTGGTGCCATTAGAATATTTAGGGGATGTAGATTTCTACTTGGCCATTAATATGAGTGACACTTGGCCAGTCATCTTTCAACTGAATCTATCTCACAGGGTCATTGTGAGCATACATTAGGTAGGAGAAAGGAAATATAGACACCCTCCTGAGCTTGTCTGAAGACAGGGGGTCTATAAGTGAAATTTTGTTTAAAAATAGAACGAGGGGAAAATAATTTACTCATCTAGTTAGCTTTGAGTGCCGCCCTCAATCTATATCTTGAAAGAAGTACTGTAAAGTTTGGCAAGTGTCCTGCAGACCTATCAATTTTTGCTTCTCAGCAGAGTTTTAATCGATGTGTATACATTGAAACTAAGTGACATCTGTCACATAATAAAAAAGCCACAAGGAAACAACAAACATACCCCCCTGAATGTAGTAGCTATTTGCTGTCAAGTTATCTTCCACTTCTGGCATCCCTATGAATGAGATATCTCATACCTGTGATGCACACCTGTCTCAAGGTTAGTAACTTTTAAGTCCTTTTCTCAATTCCTTGACAAAATACAACCAACTCCTCCAAGCAAACAAAAAACCAAGAAGCCAAAGTTTTGGTCACTTCTGGGTTCTGGCTTTTTTAAACAGATCTACAGCTAGAGATATGTAGTGACGTCCAAATTTCAGAGTCAAACTGGTCTTTATAATACTATCATTTCTTATGAAAGAATTAAAATGCAAGAAAATATTGCAAAGAATGTTCAATGTATTTCCCATTTTAACCTTCCATCCATTTCTATAACGCAAAGTAACACTTCTCAAGAGTTAGATACCACCTGACCACATTTTTATGACTTCCTGAACCCTCCCTCTACTTTGGACTACTCTTGCTATCACTATGTGCACCAGCATGACCTACAATCAAAGATAGTAAGACTTACAGTTTTGGGAGGGTATCAGTTGACAGAGGCTGGGCTAGAACTGGGGGGAGGGAGCTTATACTAAAGCAGAATAATCTTACATCAGCTGGTAATTATGTTTCCTATCTATTAAAAGGTAAAGGTTTCCCTTGACATTAAGTCTAGTCGTGTCCGACTCTGGGGGATGGTGCTCATCTCCATTTCTAAGCTGAAGAGCCGACGTTGTCCACTGACGTCTCCGAGGTCACGTGGCCGGTGTGACTGCATGGAGCACCATTACCTTCCCACCGAGGCAGTACCTATCGGTCTACTCACATTTGCATGGTTTCGAACTTGGCAGAAGCTGGGACTAACAGCAGGAGCTCACCCGCTTCCTAGATTTTGAACCGCTGACCTTTTGGTCAGTACGTTCAGCAACTCAGCAGTTTAACCCACTGCACCACTGGGGGCTCCTTCCTATCTATTAGTTTAATGACACCCCCTTGGCTTCCAGCTCTAAATAGGTTAAAATTTGGGTTAGATAAATGACAGCTAGAAATGAAGGTCTTCTTCACGCAATATAGTCCACCCCTCCACATTTGTAAGTTTAACTTTTGTGGATGTAATCATTCATAGATTTGATTATATTTCTAGATTTTCTATTCATGCTGGAAAATCAGGACATTCCTAGAGAGGTATTCTCTCAAGTAAAAAAAATAGCAAGGTTTTAACCTTTGAGTACATTTCTCTAGGAATTTCTGGATCTAGAAATTTAATCAAATTTAAATCCAACTGCAGAATGAATGCAGTTTGACACCACTTCAATTGTCATGTCTCAATGTTGTGGACTCATGGGAGAGAGAGTTTGGTGAGGAATCAACACTCTTTGGCAGTGGAGGCTAAAGTCCTTGTCAAACTACAACTCCCATGATGCCATAGCACGGAGCTATAGTAGCTACGGTGGTGTCAATGTGCATGAATTCTACAGTGTAAAATGCACACAAGTCTCAGCACAAGATCAATGTATGATTCATATACACTTTACACCAGGCATGGGCAAACTTTGACTAGCCAGGTGTTTTAGACTTCAACTCCCACCATTTCTATCAGCATAGGAATTGTGGGAGTTGAAGTCCAAAACACTTGAAGGGCTAACATTCACCCATGCCAACTTTGGCCCTCCAGGTGTTTTGGACTTCAACTCCCACAATTCCTAACAGCCTACCAGCTGTTAGGAATTGTGGGAGTTGAAGTCCAAAACACCTGGAGAGCCAAAGTTTGCCCATGCCTGCTTTACACAAATAGCCTGGAAGTTTATACACAGTATTTTAAAATATTTTGTGTGTGCAACCACATAGGTGCACAAACCTGGCTTCATGCACAAATACAGATATTGTATTCCAAAAATAGAAAATAAAATCCTAGGAAATCTGACCCCAAGCATTCAGATATGAGTTATCCAACCTGTACTGTTATGAACAGTAAAAAAAAAAAAATACAGAAACAAGCAAGCTGTGCTGGAAGAGTTTATGTCACTTTGGGGGCAGAGGCATGGCTGCTGTATTGACGGGACATACAGCCCTCCTTGTTCCATTCTCAGGGGGCTCCTGGGCTCTTCCCTTGGCCCTCTCCAACTCTCCTGAAAGACCTGGCCTTCAAGATACAACCTTCCCTTCCGAAAAAGCACCCTCTGGGGCCTTTCCCCTCCCCTCCAACCCAAGCAGAAGCAGAAGCCTTAGCAGCATCTCAGGCGAAACAGAAAGAGGCCGGCTTCCGCCCCACGCCAAACTTTCCCTCCATCGTGCCTTGTGCAAAACCACGGAGGGTGGGTTTTACCCCAAGAAGGAGGGGAGGAAGGACAATGGGGGGGGGGGGAGAGAAAGAGGGAGGAAGTATAAGAAAAGGGGGGGGAGATAATGAGATATAAGAGAGGAGAATAAGAGATAGAGGGGGGGAGGAAAGAGTACGAGAGAAAGAAAAAGGGGGAGAAAGGGAGTGTGAGATATATGAGAGAGGAGGGAGAAAGAGACAGGGAGTATGAGAGCACGGGGGAAGAGAAGAGAGAAGGAGTGATGGGGAGAGTGTAGGAGAAAAAGAGAGAGAAAGAAAGGGAGTATGAGATATATGAGAGAGGAGGGAGAAAGACGGAGAATGAGATAAGAGGAAGAGAGAGAGTGATTAGGGAGAAAAAGAAGGAGTTGGAGAGACAGGGGGAATGAGAAAGGGGGAGGAAGAAAGAGAGGGAGTATGAGATATATGAGAGAGGAGGAAGAAAGAAGAAAACGAGAAGTAGAGAGGGAAGGAGAAGGGGGAGGAAGAAAGCATGAGGTATATGAGAGAAGAGGGAGAATGAGAGTAGGAGGAAGAGAGAAAGAGATGTAAGAGAAGGGGGAAAGAAAGGAGAGAGATAAAGGGGAAAGAGTGAAAGGGAGAGGAAAAAAGGGAGTATGAGATATACGAGAGAGGAGGGAGAATGAGAGAAGGTCTCATTCTTTCTTCCCCCTTACTATCTTATTCAGTGTCCCCCCCTTCTTCTCTTTCCTTCCTCCATCTCTCATGCTCTTCCTTCCCCCTTCTCTCATGCTCCTTCTTTCTTCCCCCTTTCTCTCTCATTCTGTCTTTCCCCCTCTATCTCTCCTTCTCCTCTATCCCTCTTCTTGTATCTCTCATTCTCTCATACTCCCTCTCTTTCTTACCCCTTACTCTCTTATTCAGTGTTCCCCCTCTCCTTCTCCTCTCTGTATCCCTCTTCTATCTCCCTTTCTCTCTTCCTTCTCTCATACTCCCTCTCTCTTTTCCCTCCTCTCACATATCTCATACTCCCTCTCTTTCTTCCTCCTCTCTTATCTCTCATTATCTTCCTTCATCCATCTCTCATATATATATGAGAGGAAGGAGAAAGATAGAAAGAGGAGTTTGGGAAATAGAGGGGGAAAGAGAAAGAATGAGAGAGAAGGGAGGAGGAAGAAAGAGAGGGAGTATGAGATATATGAGAGGGAAAGAGAGGGGGAGTATGAGAGGAGGAAGAGAGAGAGATATAAGAAGAGGGATACAGAGAGGAGAAAGAGAAGGAGAGGGGGAACACTGAAGAAGAGAGTAAGGGGTAAGAAAGAGAGGGAGTATGAGTGATATAAGAAAAAAAAGAGATATAAGAAGATAGAGAGAGGAGAAGGAGAGATAGAGGGGGAAAGACAAAATAAGAGAGAAAGGGGGAAGAAAGAAGGAGCATGAGAGAAGAAGGAAAGAAGAGAATGAGAGATGGAGGAAGGAAAAGAATGAGAGATAAGAGAGGAGGGAGAAAGAGAATGAAGGACAATGAGAGATAAGAGGGGGAAGGAAGGGAGAGGAGGGAGACAGAAAGGGGGAGAAAGATATTGAGACTGGAAAGAGAGGGGGGAAGAGAGACAGTGAGAGAGAGGCAGTAGAGAGAGACTGAAAACGAGGCGAGAGGGCGAACGAGGAAGGGAAGGGGAAGGAGAGATGGGAGAAAGGGAGAGCGAGGCCCCCTCCCCTCCTGACCTTCGGGTTGCCCAAAGCCATGCGCGGCCTTGAGGCTGCCTCAAGTTTCGCAGCCTGGGCAAGGCAAGGGCCTCTCCTGAAGGCGGCCTGTGCTGCTAAAGATAACACCAACCACAGTAAGGCCTGGCAGGCGCAACGAGCCTGGTTGCGAGGGGGAAACAACCCACCCGGCGACTGGGAGGGCGCGCTAGGCCCGAGGCGGGAGGCCGCCTTACTCACCGCCGCTGGGGAAGCGCTCCATGTTGCTGCGGAGGGCCGCGGAAGCCCGAACGGGGAGGAAGAGGCTCACGAAAACACACGCAGGGACCGGGAGGGAGGGAGGGGAGCAAGCCGGCTCCTCCTCACTCGCCTTTCCCCTCCTCCTGCTGCATGTCTCCGCCCGCAGTGAGGCACTAATTCTACAACGTAGAGCAGGCCCAGGCAAACTTAGGCCCTCCCTCCAGGTGTTTTGGACTTCAACTCCCACAATTCCTAACACCCTCAGGCCCATGACATTTTCTTAAAACTCAAAAGGTGTCCTCAAAACCCCAGGCATGTGTAACTTGTTGGGTTTCATCCCTGGACTGCACAAGCCTTTGTGTCATCAAGTTTCCAGTCTTCAATGAGTAGCTAGACTAGAGACAGGGCTAAACTCAGGGATTCCTTTTCCCACATTCCTACGCATGTTTCCTAAAGGGTTTTGTCTTTATCTCTACTGCTAGCCACAGTCTCCTCCCCTTTTTGATGACATAGTAATGGAATTCTGTGAGGGAACTTCCTTTCAAGTTTAAATTGCCCCAGGAAGGCCATGTGGTGTCCACCATGTTACTGCTGCTTTTCATTCTCCCTGTGAGGACGCATTTTGCCTCTCTGTAGGCAAAATGTTGCTGCATGGACTTTTTAAAAACCTTTTGCCTTCTTTGTTGTTGTTGTTGTTTATTCGTTCTGTCGCTTCCGACTCTTCGTGACCTCATGGACCAGCCCACACGAGAGCTCCCTGTCGGCCATCACCACCCCCAGCTCCTTCAAGGTCAATCCAGTCACTTCAAGGATACCATCCATCCATCTTGCCCTTGGTCGACCCCTCTTCCTTTTTCCTTCTATTTTCCCCAGCATCATTCTCTTCACCAAGCTTTCCTGTCTTCTCATTATATGGCCAAAGTATTTCATCGTTGCCTCTAATATCCTTCCCCCCAATGAGCAGTCAGGCTTTATTTCCTGAAGTATGGACTGGTTGGATCTTCTTGCAGTCCAAGGCACTCTCAGGACTTTCCTCCAACACCACAGTTCAAAAGCATCTATCTTCCTTTGCTCAGCCTTCCCTATGGTCCAGCTCTCACATCCATAGGTGACTATGGAGAATACCATTGCTTTAACTATGCGGATCTTCATTGCCAGTGTGATGTCTTTACTCTTCTCAATTTTATCAAGATTGGTCATTGCTCTCCTCCCAAAAAGTAAACGTCTTCCGACTTCCTAGCTGCAGTCTGTATCTGCAGTAATCTTTGCACCTAGAAATACAAAGTCTGTTATGCCGCCATGTTTTCTCCCTCTTTACCTTCTTTAGAAGATGAGATTTATTTATTTATTTATATTTATTATTTATTTATTTACTTTATTTGTATACCGCTCTTCTCAGCCCTTAGGCGACTCAGAGCGGTTTACAACAGTTTAGATATACAGGATACAAAATCATTATGCATTTAAAAAACAAAAGCATCACAAGTCATTAACATCATTAACATCAGCATCAAAACACCAATACATCAATTTAGCAAGATAGTTAGCTCCAAAACTTTTCTATCAACAATGTATTTTTTACTTTAATAAATCTTTTAAACCTCAAGATTGCCTCTGCAACCCTCAGCCATCCTAAAGATTAAAAGGCTGTTCCTGCTCACCACACATAAGTTTTGCTAGTTATGGAGTTCACTCTTGTTATTCTGCTATATTTTGGTTGAATTACCCTAACTGAGGGTTATTTTTGAGCCTAACAGCTCAGGTTCCCCAACAGTAACTCTTAGAGCATGTCTAAACAGACCAAAAGAAAGCCTTGTAGGCGCTGAAATCCAGGTGCATGACATTCTTGATATTTTGCTTGGAATGAGACTCTTTGGGCTTTAATCCAGTTAAAAATTACATTTCCTTTTACCACACAGTTTTCTAGGAAAATCGGGATATATCTATATCTATCTATCTATCTATCTATCTATCTATCTATCTATCTATCTATCTCCAGATATATCCAATATATATAAATATTGGCATGTTGCCAAATTTTTAAAATATTATTATTTATATCCCATTTAAACTTTAAATAACTCTTTAAAGTTCTTCAGTTGAATTTTTATGTAAGTTGAAATAGGTACAAAATTTGGCTTGTTGTGCAAACAAGAATTGGTGAGAAAGCTTCAGACACCTTTCCCCCATGTCTCTCTTTAAAGATCTTCAGTTGAACTTGTAAGTAAGTCAGAATAGGTACAAAATTTGGCTTGTTGTGGAAACAAGGATTGTTGAGAAAGCCTCAGCGGTGACACCTTTTCCCCATGATAACTCTTTCAAGAGCGAATCTTTCAAGGGGAAGATTTCTCTCACTTCCTGTTGTCTCACCTCCATTCTTAACTATGAGTCATTTGTAAGTCGGGGTTTGTAACTCGGGGACTTCTTGCATAGCCTGTATTCAAGTCGTCGTTGTGTGCTATCAAGTCATTTCCAACTTATAGTGACCCTAAGGTGAACCTGTCACAGGGTTTTCTTGGCGACATTTGCTCAGAGAGGATTTGCCTTTGCCTTCCTCTGAGGCTGAGAGAGTATGATTTGCCCAGAGATACATAGTAAGTTTCCATGTCCAAGCAGGGATTTGACCATGTTCTCCAGAATCAAAGTCCAATCAATGCTCAAACTATGACACCACACCAGTTTCCTATTTGCCAATATATTTACCAGTTACCTATCTATTCAAGTCAGCCTGTTGCAAACTATGAGAACCCATGCAGCTCTTCCTTGTGATCCAGTATTTGAAATACATAAGCACGATTTTATATAAACATATATTACTGCATTTTTGTTGCTTTGTTGCATTCATAAGCAAGAAATAAGCTGTAATAAAAGAATTTGTAATTAGCAAATAAAACCACTTTTCCCCTTTTTGCCATCCTTTGAGGTATCCCCGTTCTATTTTTTGAAACCTCCTAAACTGCACAAAGTTATTTGCATCTTATTTATATTCCGAAAACAAATAAAAGTACGTAAATCTACAAAAACTTTCTGACTTATTAAACAGGCCAGCTCTTTAGAAATGAAAGTCTTTTGTTTGTTGGAAGACTTTGATTTCTAAATGAAAGGAAAAACACTAAATTTCAGGTATTTTATCCCATGATATTTCCAGTCTCTTGTTTCTCTAAATGAAAACATAATACTATTATGAGGAAATTACATTCAATTCTAGAAATATTTTTTAATTAGATTTAGAAAAGGAATGTTAAACTTTAGAAATTTTGATTGAAGTACAAAACCAAAGTTGTAGACTTCCTTTTAGGAAGAGCAGCTTGCTGACTCATGCTTATTTCTCTTTAAGCTCAAGTTTCACACATAATTTCTGGTCGCTTCTGGGTGCTTTTCTTCTCAAGAACAGACAAGCACCTTGAGCTCTGAGGATTACCTGGGAAGGAATCCCACCGGAGCATTGCAGCACACCCAAATACCTGGGAGTTATCCTGGACCATTCTCTGACCTACAAGAAGCACTGTCTGAATATCAAGCAAAAAGTGGGCACTAGAAACAATATCTTACGAAAGTTGACTGGCACAACCTGGGGATACCAGATACAGTGAAGACATCTACCCTTCAGCTTTGCTACTCTGTTGCTGAGTATACATGCCCAGTGTGGAACACATCTCACCATGCTAAAACAGTGGATGTGGCTCTTAATGAGACATCATGCATTATCATGGGGTGTCTGCACCCTAAATCACTGGAGAAATTTCAGTTTAGCCAGTATTGCCCCACCTGACATCCACTGGGAAGTAGCAACCAATAGTGAAATGACCAAGGCAATGACATCTCCAGCCCATCCCTTGTTCGGATATCAGCCAGCACACCAACTACTTGAATCAAGAAAAAGTTTTCTAAGATCTACAAAGACATTTGCTGGAATATCTCAGCAAGCAAGAGTACAAAAGTGGCAGGCTAAAACCCAGAACCTCAATCAATGGCTGATACCAAATGAGAGAATCCCTCCTGGGCACACAGAAAACTGAGCGACTTGGAATTCTGGCACCAGACTGCATTCTGGCACCACGAGATGCAGAGCCAATCTTAAGAAATGGGGCTACAAAGTGGAGTCCACGATATGCGAGTGTGGAGAAGAGCAAACCACAGGCCACTTGTCACATGCACAATGGAGGACCTTCTTATAGCAACACCAGAGGCATTCCAAGTGGCCAGCTAATGGTAAAAGGACATTTAATAGAATGCCAAGTTTTCAAACTTTGTGGAGTTTTTTTCTAAAAAAAAAAATACAACTGTTTGGTTCGCTCCTGATACAATAGACAGACAGATAGGAAGTATTCTGTATTGACATGTGTAATACACTGCTCTGCAGGCTAGATTTTCTTCCACTGGCATGTAATTTCTGGTCACAGTTGTGGTCCATGAACCTAATTAGGGTATACAGGCAGTCCTCAAGTTACAAACAAGATAGGTTCTGTAGGTTTGTTCTTAAGCTGAATTTGTATGTAAGTCAGAACAGGTACTTTTTAAAGTTCCAGCCAAAAATATATATGTTTTAGTTTTGGATAGCATAAGGAAGGGCTAACACCCTGTGGTGTGTTTTGCTGTCTGTGCCCCTGTTCAGATTTCTCCTCACTTTGTGTCCCTGTGATAACTGGATTTTGAAACATTTGGCTTTTTTATGGAAATAAGGATTGGTGACCAAGCTTCAGTGGATATACCTTTTAACTCTTTCAGGAGTGAATTTCCCTTCCGAGCAGTAGATTTCTCACACTTCCTGTTGTCCCACCTTCATTCTTAACAATGAGTCATTTGTACGCCGTATGTTTGTAGCTCAGGGACTATCTGTACTGTTAAAATTTCACAGCATTTTGGCTAATAGTCCACAACAGTCCATCTACACATGTATTTTAAGCCTGAAAATGGACAATGCATTTAGATGGCACTTGATAGAACCAGAGGCATTTCATCTTATCTACAGACCACATATCATTAGTCTTAAGTGAATGACATTGGCTTCCAGTTAGTTCCAAGCTGAGTTCTGGTTCTAATACGGAAAGCTATCAATGGCCTGGGGTCAAGAAACTATCTCCTCCCAAAAGAACCTATCCAAAATCTGAGATTTTTGACAGGAGCCCTGTTGATGGCAGGACAGGACTTCCTCTGTAG